GTTAGAAACTTGATTAAGTTCTTTATTCATATCTAAAAAAAGTTTGTTAATGTCTTTGTTTGACAAAAATAAATTGGTATCGTCGGAAAACATGATGCTTATAAGATTCGAGGCCTTATTTAGATCGTTGACGTATACTAAAAAGAGAAGTGGGCTAAGGGTAGAACCCTGTGGAACACCACATTTTATTTCAATTAATGTTTTATTTTGAAGATAAATAGGAAGCAATTCTTCTCCGTGGTAGACAAATTGCTTTCTATTTGACAAGTAACTTTTATACCATTTGATCATTTTACCAGTTATTCCGTTGAACTCAAGTTTTTTAAGTAAGATATCATGATTGACTGTATCAAAAGCCTTTGATAAATCGACAAAAACACCAAGTGTATATTGTGATTTAGCAAAAGAATTTGAGACTTCACGTGTAAATTGAATAATGGCTTGTTCAGTTGAACTATTTTAAAGCCGAACTGATTTTTATATAGTAAATTATTTGAAACCAGGTAGTTGTATGTTTTTTCGAAGATAATTTTTTCTAATATTTTTAAAAACGTAGGAAGAATAGAAAAAGGGCGATATTTATTTACGTTTGATTTTTCTCTTTTATTATAAATCGGGATAACTTTTGCAATTTTTAATAGATCAGGGAAAATACCTTGTTGTATAGATGTTTGGAAAACTTTAAAATCTCTTAAACTTATGGTTTTGGTCCTGGTCGAGCCAAATAAATTGTTGGTCCAATATTACGTACTTAAAGAAGTATAGGATGAATCTTGCTTTATAATAAGGAAAATTTCCGAAAAATCTTTTCATCTTGTAATTCTCCACCAAAATAAACAGTTACCACTCTAATAAGTTCCCGATAATCTTTTTTTAACAATGTCATTTTTTTCGTGGAAAACTTTCGTCGAGTCCCAGTTATCCTGAAACATTTTAAGTAGCGATTCGATTGGCTCATTATGGTTTCCAATAAATACCTCCCGGACGTGTTTAATGTGCAACATAATATAATCATAAATGTGGTGCCAACGAGTAGCCCATAAAATTGTACGACCCATCTCCTTTCCAATTATAGAAAGCACATCTTGCCTTCCAGCCAGCGTTACTATTTGTAGTGTCGAAGCAAAGAGCAACTAAGTTATCATGTAGCTTCCATGGTTTAGAATAGTGGAAAAATTATTATTTCTGGGTTGCACTAGTAGCATTTAGGATTGTAGAAATCTCAAGAATATGGGGTTTAATTTTTCAGTCAAACCATCCCATCCGTTTGCAAGAATTGAAGCACGTTTCTTTTTCTTTTCTGTAAATAAAATATTTATAAATTTTCCTACGTATTATAGCAATGTCTGCATAATTTTATCGTTAAGTGATGAAACAAGTTTGCAACAGCAGTGATTGCATGAATGAAGTGGAAGGTTGCATTTATATTTATTTTTTAATTGATGAAATCGACTTTCTCGTTCATCCTTTTGTTGACAATGAATATTCGATTTTTAACTATAAAAATATTAAATAAAATATTTAAGTATTAATAATAAGGGCAAACCTGTTATTCCTCTCTCTCTATTACTCTCCTTTTACTCTCTCTATTACTCTCTCTATTACTCTCCTGTGTGTTTCAGATTTTGTCACTTCGCCTAAAAACAAAGCTCATTTGTTTGCTAAGAACTTTTCACCAATATCATCTCTCGATTCCACTAGTTGCGTTCTACCTGATATTGCCAACAAACAGGTTGATTCATTGCTTGATATTCGTATTACTCCAGCTTCTGTATCTTAAGTGATATCCTGCTTAGACTCTTCAACAGCTTGTGGTAAGACTATAACAGGTATGACAACATACCTGTTATAGTTTTGCAGAAGTATTCTCCGGAGCTGTCGTCTATACTTTTAAAACTATTTAACAAGTGCTTATCGGAGTGCTGAAAAGCTGCATCTGTTATCCCTATTTTCAAAAATTCTGGAGAGCAATCTGACTTTTCTAACTACCGTCCGATTAGTCTTCTTCCTATCCGTCCGATCTTCTTTCAATCGTAAGCAAGGTTTTTAAATCTTTAATTAACAATCACTTAATCTTTCATATTGAATCGAATATTTTATTTCTGATCATCAAAATGGATTTTGATCTTCTCGTTCCACAGCTAATTTACTTACAGTAATAAATAATAAGTTTTATTGTACATTAGATAGAGGTGGAGAAGTTAAGGCTATCGCCTTTGACATTTCTATAGCTTTTAATAAAGTATAGCATGCTAGTCTTCTCCATTAGCTTTCTTCTTACGATGAATTAGGTAACATCTTAAAGATTATTGAATTTTTCTTTAGCAATCGTAGTATAAAAGTTGTTCTCGATAGACAGCACTCTTCTTCATATCCTGTAACTTCAGGGGTTCTTTAAGATTTTATCTTTGGCCTTATACTCTTTTAAATTAACGATCTTCCAGATATTCTCACATCTAAGGTGACATTGTTTGCTAATGATATTACTATTTATTCTTGTCCTGATAAGAAGCCATTACTCTCTGATCACTTGGAGAGGGCATTTGAAGTTGAAAAGAATCTTACTTCTGCTATAGCTGACAGTGGCTGGTAAACTTTAATTCAGATAAAACCCAATATTTTTCAGCAAATCATTACCGCAATAATTTAGATCTTTCTATATTTATGAACGGTAATGTACTCTTCAAATCATCTACCCTTAGTCTTTTAGGATTAAATCTGACTTCCGATCTTTCTTGGAAACCATATATATAGGGTCATATAACCATATATAAAGGGTCAGGGTTAGGGTTAAGGTTGCAAAATTAGTATCTGCTAATTTTTTAACCATTGAAAAAATAGCATCTGCTAAGGTTGCATCTTTTTATCGTGCCTGACGTTTTCTTATTCCGGATTCTATTCTTTATCTCTATAAATCTCAAATCCGTAATTTGAAGCATTCTGTTGAATGCATATTAGGGTGTCCCAAAAATATATCATAAATCGAATTTTATTGAGCGGAATTTTATTGAGCGGAATACTACATTTAGCATAATTTTATTTATAAAGAAAAAAATTAAGTTTTTGCTCATGGGGAAGGTTATTTAGGTAAATTTACTTTTATATAATAATTCATAACAAATAAATTTTGATTTAAAATTGATTTTTATCCGAGTCAATTTTTATTTATGTTTCGACAAAAGCATGGCTAACAATAAGATAAATGATGTGTGTTTTATAAACAATAAAAACTAATGATGCGTAAATTTAATTTAAGTTAATAAATTATTAAAGTAGAAATCAAGTTTAAAAGTTGTTTTCAACCAAGAAATTTATCTAAAACACAGGTTTGAATTTGTATATAAAACATATTTACCAGTCTCACTATTTTTTCATTATTACTTGTATACTAATATCCTGATTCAATCAACTACAACTAAATACGTCTAATGCGGATTTTTTTAAAGAAATAAATTGATTTTAGATAATGTCTCTAGACATGAATTGTCATTCACTGAGAACGGATATTGATGATGCGTCAAAAGCTACAAGAAAGAGGAGATTCCTTTTACAGAGTTTTGCCGCTTAATAGACTTCCAACAAATGGAGAAATGCTCAGAAGGTATTACTGGCTTAATCTCAAAAAAAGAAATAGGTAAATCTGAAATTAAATAAAAAAAGCATTACATTTTTTACAAATTTTATGTTAACTTTTTAATGTTTTTTTTTTTAATTTTTCAGCACCACAAAGATCAATATCAAAATTGGTTGTCCAGTTGCTTCCGGGAGACGTATTAAAGATGCTCCAGGTTTGCTGATGGAATGTGCAGAGAGAACACCAAGCAGATACTTACTGGTGTCTGTATTTTGAGAGAGCTTGTCAATTTATGGGAGCAGACTGGGTTTAACGATAATTTCATTGTGACGGAGCAAACTATCAAGACCAGAATTACCAAGAAAGTCAAAGAATAACATACTTTAAAAATGCTAAATACACTAGAACTAGCAGAGAGTAGCTACAAAAATAAGGTGAACACTTTACAAAAATAAGGTGAACACTAGGAATGTTAACAACCAAAATGAAGATGAAAGTTCAGTAAGTTTTGTTACTCGGTTACAAAAACAAGCTGAATATGGTGCTTTTCCAGATGACGCTGAAACCGTAAAGAGAAAATTTCTATCAGCATGTCACCCCATAAAAATAAAACAAAAACTTCTCAAAAATGTAGACATGAATCTCGAAAATATGTTGAAATTGGTTACAATGTGGAAGTATTAAAACAATAAAAAAAATGACTATTTTAAAAGAATTAACCTTTTCAAGAAGACGAAAATAAGCTACAGATTTGAAGTGGGGAGCTAACCATCACGAAGGCGACCCTGACCCCCTGGTATAGCCTCGTTCCCACTTTTTATTTTTAGGTGACCGTCACATCAGGGTCTCCTATACTTACAGAGACAACTATACCTATACATCAAATGATACAAATCAAATAAACATTAACAGTAGCATCGCTGAGGTTGGTGTCACCCAGAGCGGTAAACTTTTGGTGTCACCCCTCTAGACTAACAGGTGGAAGGTGACACCAAAAAAAGTTTCTCTTTATCTAGATACTTCTAAATAAAAAAAGGTCCTTTTTTAAAAGCCCCTTAGCGACGCCAGTGAACATTAATCAGTTAAACAAAAAAACCTATTTGAAAAGTAAACGTTTTAACTTAATAAACTAACCTGTTATTTCTTTAATTGAAACAAAATCAACAAGTAATAAAAAACTTCATTACTTTTTCAAATTATTGTTATTTTATAACGCGATGTTAAAGTATTAAATCCATTAGTCTATAAGTACTTTTGTTATTATTTATAATCCTAACCCAAAAATGTTTTAAAACTACGTGGAAAAGATTTTTTTATTTCAATAAACAGTTTTACAAAGATTGTCGCAGATCGTCTTCCACTCTTATCATTTATAAAAGTTAAATCACGATTAAAAAATAAAAATAAATATAACTTGGCGCCAGATTTCTTACAGTAACCTTTCAATACTTTTTTAAATTACTTTAATTGTTTTTGTTGATTAAAAAAAAAAAAAAAAAAAAAATTTTAATTTCAACTTTTAGCTGTTATTTTTATTTGACATTGCCTGTCTTTGTTTTTAATAAAAAGCTTTAAAAACAATTTTTGTTGCTTAATTCAAGTTAAAACTAACTAGCGATTTAAGGCGCGTAATTTTTAAATTTTCTTCAATTCACAATAACATTGCAAAATGTTTTCTAAATCTAAAACAAAGAGGTTTCAAGATCCAGGTATTTTTTATAATTTATAATTTTTTACCATTTGTAATTTATTTTTTACTTTAAGTTAGTTATCTGACCGCGTATTTATTAGAAGTAGAAAAAGATTTTTCTACAGATTTTATGTTTTAATTTCAGTATCATGTGCACCTCCACCAGGATCGTATAATATTCCAGATATTAAAAAAGTTAATCTTGTCAGTTTTGACAAATCTAAAAGATTCAATGAACCAAAAGGTACTTTTGTTAACATTCAATGTTATTTCACAAGTGTTTAATTACATTAGTTTAACTTTAAAAATGTATAAAATAAATGTTCAATATATAATATATATTTTTTCAGTTTACAAAAAAATTTAGTAATTTATCAAAATTAAAATTCTAAATTTGATCTTAAAAAGCCAAAATAATTTACTAATGTTTGTATATTAGTTTGAAATATTAGCATGCAAACATCTGTAAATATGCCATTAGACAAAGACAAAGAAGCAAAAAATCTCTTTGCAAAATGGGCAATATATTTCCATGCATATAAAAATTATAATATTTTGGTAACTTGTATAGATAAGGTCTTTCTCAAAATTTTATTGCACTAACAGTTCTGGATTTTTGTACTGAGTAATTCAACAAAAAATACCAGCTTTTAGGTTTTACATTCATTAAAAACAAATGAGCTCTTTAAATAATCTTTCCTTGTTATTGTCTTTCTTTGGTAGCAAGTTGAGTCCATGATTTAATACTTTCAGAGTTACTAACTATATATTAGGTTCTTTGGTTGCACTTAGAGCATCAACAAGCAATTTTTTATACTAGAATAGTTTTGGAAACATAATGATTGTATTTCATATCGTTTAGTAATTCAATTTATTATAATAATAATATTTTAAAACTAGTCAAATGAATCTTCGTGAATTTTTTCCTTTGTTTACTGTAAGTTGAATGGACCCTTATCTTAAACCACAAGTGGAAACATGGCTGTTGAGCAGAACTAAATTAGTTTATAAAAGCTTTATATTAATCACCTAATAAGGAAGTAGCATTTAGTTTGCATTTCTTAATAATGATAATTAAAAAAAGATTTACATAAAATATCAGTTAGAAAAGACCACAATTTTTTATAGCAACAAAATTTTATATTGATATAATTAGTGAAAAGTATTGTTCCAATTTCCAAAATTTATAATAATAGTAATGATTTAAAAAATTTTTTAATCTTTATAATAGACCTCGGCAGAAGTAAAGGATTGCACAAGCAGTGAAATGCCTATCTAAAACAGAATAAACGTTCTGTGCAAGTTGCACGTGCTGCTAGTGCTTGTGCGGGCCTACAGCATTTTGAAGGGCTTTTTTGAGAATAGGACAAAAAAGCTCATGAAGTAACGTTTCTTCCTATTTTCATATATAAAACATTATTCATTATGCTTCTTTATTGTGAATTTTTTTTTTCTTATTTGAAAAGTTTAAAAATTGCTTTGAAATAGCTCATGCAAAAAAGTAAGTAGTTATAAAAAAATACTTTTTTTACTTTTTTGTGTAATATAATTCGAATTTAAACAAACTAATTTTTGAACTGTTTATAAAAGAATATTTTATTTAAAATATTAAGTATGTGTGCATCATTATTTTCATCAAAATGAAATTTATTAATTCAAAGTTTGCAATTAAGTTTTGAATAAATTCGATATTTTAATCTATTTTAGCTGCGTATATTGCTCATCACTTTTAAAGTTCTTTAGAAGTTTAAATGTTAATTTACATATATTGTCTTCTTTTATATTAGAAATGGAAAGTAAGCATTTAATTTGACTGACTAACGTATGGAATTTTTTTACTTGTATTTTAGTAATGGTTCTTCGTGACTGAGTTTTATACATACAAAATAGCTTAAATGAAAACATAAAAAACTAACATTCAAATTACCAGCTAATGTTATTAGTTTAAAATAATTCTGGTGCACACAGATTTCCGTTCAATTAAAAAAGGAAGATCAATACCATCTAAGTAATTTAATTTTGAATTTTTTAAATATAAAACAATTTTTATAAAATATTAAAAAATTTTAAAGTGAATACTTACTTAGTACTAAAAAAAATTGTTTTGTGAAATATTATTATAACAGTTAATTATGTTGTATAACAGAGCCGACAACATTAGCAAGGATACTGGGGTCCCACTTTTATTTTAAAGGACTTTTTTTTTTTAAAGAAATTTTTAGATATAGAGGACCTTGCATAAAACATAGTTTTTACATAAAAATATATTTTCTAATATATTATTAATATTATAAATATTATATTAAAATATGCTTCGTCTGATTCCTTTATTATTAGAGGAAAAAATGCAAACGCACTATTGATAATTTTAAATTTATTTAAAAATAATTTATTCATTGCAATGATTTTGCAAATAGCGGGAAAATTTATGTGAAAATTGTATGTAGAGGTTGAATAAATACACACAAAAAAAGAACTTAAAATGTTCTTAATTTTGTACAACAATTTCAAATAATAACAAAATAAGATTTTCAATCTGTAAAGTTAACCACATTAAAGAAAGATAGTTGCACATCTTTTTTTCTGCACATTAAAATCATTTTAAAAACTGCTAATGTTAATTAGTTAACAATAATATTGTTAACTCTTGTTAAGCTGAATGTTTATATTAAGAAGACTATCATTTCATGAAACATTACTATTAAAACCGCTAATGTCAAGTAATTCAAAATAATTACTATATATACATATATAGTAATTATTTTGAATTACTTGACATATATATATATATATATATATATATATATATATATATATATATATATATATATATATATATATATATATATATATATATATATATATATATATATATACATATATAGTAATTATTTTGAATTACTTGACATATATATATATATATATATATATATATATATATATATATATATATATATATATATATATATATATATATATATATATATATATATATAGTATATATATATATATATATATATATATATATATATATTTAATTAAAAAAAAAAAAGCTCAAATTAAATTAACTTCAATTAATTCATTTATTGCAATTTGCAGCAAAAAATAAATGCAAAGTTTTAAAGAAAAGAAAAACAAAGTTAAAATTATAGTTAAAAAAAATGTTCTTAGTTAAATACAAAAATTATTATATGTTATTTTATTATTATTAAAATGATGTATCAAATATTTTTATTAAAATAATAATTAAATAAGAACTTTAATCATTTATGAAAAAAGGATTTTTACCACAAGTAAAATAAAAGTAATCTAAATAATTGAAGCAAAAAAATAAATAGACATTGTTTATGTCATATGTCAACATTGTTTATGTCATATGTCAAAGCGCATTAAAGTAGCATATTGTAAACAATGAAACTATTTGGAACTCTTTTTCAAAACTTAAATGATTTTATAAAATTTTAGTATACGTATTTTCCAAATTACATCGTGATTATTTCAATTTAATTATTATGTCAAATCTTGTTTTTCAAAACTCTGATTATATTTTTCAACCGGTCAACCATGACTGCAAAAATTTATTTTGGGAGGTCAAAATAGCAATTTTAGTCATTTTGGGCAGTCATTAACCATTGACTGGTTGTTATTTTCCTTGCTGATTTAAGTTTTTAAATACTTGAGTATTTTAAAACTAAAAGTATTTTAAAATTAAAAGTGTTTAAAATAATTTTGAACTTTACTACATAGATTTTCGTATTTTTGTTTTTCTAATTTTGCATTATAATTTTTATAGTTGAATTATTTTTATGTGTAAATTTTAAATAAATTTATAGTGATTTAAAGTTGCATTAAATATCATTTAAGGCTTTAAAACGTTCATCAGCAATAACTAATAAAACTTATTTAAATTTTTAGATTAATATCTTTTAGATAAGAAACTTGCTTAGCTTGCCATTTTCAGTCAAATAGAATGATGGTTAAAAAAACTTTCATTGCAATATACTATTTTATAAATAATTTAAATAAGCAAATTTAATGGGTAGTGAGATTTGTTCACAGCACAAGGTCAGCAAATAAATTTTTGTATTTTAAAAAAGATTTATTAAAAGTATATAGAACAAGTATCATTAGAAGAACCCAAACACAACAACAGTATTTCAAACACAATAACAGTATTTTAAACACGATAACAGTATTTCATGTAGAGATGAATAAGAGATTTAAAGGTAGAGATTGAGATAGAGAATGGAAGCACAGTAATGGCGTAGCATAGTAATGGCGAGCACAGTAAACAATCTTTGCAGATGCAAACTTTGCAATCGAATGTATGATTTCCATAAGAGGTCAGTAGTAAACCAGGTTGACTGTCTGTTCTAAGCATACAAAAAGACTTTTTGTCATGACAGAAGCATAAAATTGAGTTGTCAGCTGTTAAAGCCACTTTAAATGTTAGATTGTCAGGAAGACCATTAATGTACATAAGAAACAAAACAGGACCAAGGATAGAACCTTGAGGTACCTCAGAAGTTACTGGAAATGAAGAAGAATGTTGGCTTTCAAGGATGACTTTTATATCAGGTTTAGAAAAAATGATTTAATAATCTCAAAAGTTTTCCCAGATGCACCACATGAAGCGAGCTTTTGGAGTAGACCAGCATGCCAAACTTAGAACAGCATGCCAAAAAGAGAGAACTCTGAAATTAAAAGAAACAAAATCCAGCAATCGTTTTGGTGATCGGGCGGTATCCCACTATGGTCCTAGACTTTAGAATATTCTTTCAAGTATCATTCGAGATAAAAAAAACACAACTATTTATAAGAAAAAACTAAAATCGTATTTAATGGTGAATAGCGAACTATTCCACCAGAAAGTTCTAGAATATTAAAAATTATAAAGTAATATAATAATTTATTGCACAGCTGAGCAAGTGTTTTGCCAGCTTACCCTTTATTTTGGCAAAACACAGTAGCTGTGGGTAAACCCATGTATATATATATATATATATATATATATATATATATATATATATATATACATATATATATATATATATATATATATATATATATATATATATATATATATATATATGTATATATATATATATATATATATATATATATATATATATATATATACATATACCTCGTTTTTCATAATTCTGAGGGTTTATATATATATATATATATATATATATATATATATATATATATATATATATATATATATATATATATATATATATATATATATATATATATATATATATATATATATATATATATACACACACACACACACATACACACACATATACAGCCCTCGGAATTAGGAAAAATTCTAAGGGGTATCCAACTTTATCAGTTTTATCAGTCTTTATCAGTTTTATCAACTTTATCAGTCGACAATTTATTGCCAACCTCAAACTGTAGTATCAGGTGCAAACCTTGAAATTAGGCTCGGCATTCAGCAATGCTGATCTAACTGCAGATCTGAAAGTGTTTTAGGTTGGCAAAAAATTGCCGACCTCGTTTCTATGTTTTATGGTTAGACCATTGTAACAAATAATTTTTGCTGACCTGATGCCGACCTCTAAAAGATTGAGGTCGGCAAATTATTGCGGACCTTGTTTTTCCTAATTCCGAGGGTTGTAGGTAGGCATTTTTACTTTTTTTACAAAAATTTTACACAAAGAAGTTGCCATTAAAAATAGAAACAAGGTTGGCAATTTTTTGGTGAATTCAAACACTTTTAGGTTGGCAAATGCTGACCCTACTTCCGAGAGCTTATATATATATATATATATATATATATATATATATATATATATATATATATATATATATATATATATATATATATATATATATATATATATATATATATATATATATATATATATATATATATATATATATATATATATATATATATATATATATATAGCTCTTGGAATTAGGGTGTATGCCGATCTTAAAGTGTTTGAGGTAGGCAAAAAATTGGCGACCTCATTTCTATATTTTATAACTCCTTTATGTCAAATTCTTTTTGCCAATCTCTAATAGTGTTAGGTCGGCAATATATTGCCAACCTCATTTTTCCTAATTAAAAAAGATGAAGTACAGAATCATGTTATCAAACCTTTTAGTCAATACCTGATAAGGTACTGACTGAAAAGTCTAAGAAATGCGATTTTTTCAAAGAAGCATGATAATGTTTCTTTGAAAAAACAAAAATGAGTCAAGCACGATATTTTGATATCTACCCTTAGATATCACAATATCATGCTTGACTCATTTTTGTTTAAAAAGACATATGGTGTTTCTAAAATGTTCAAATGTTCTATCATCAAACAAATAACAAAGTTTTATTTATTGAGGTTATTGTAAAGTTGTTGACAAGAGTCATAAGTTGTATTTTTAAGTGCCATTATAATGATTAATACATATAACAGACAATTTTTATTACATTAATACATTGTTTATACATTATATACATTTGTTATCAGAAAAATTGTTCACTATATTTATTATTATTAACAGAATGTTTCTTTTAGATAATATAGCATTACTTCTTAAGTATTAAACTTTGAATAAGTTTCTATATAAATGAATTTTTAAAATAAAGTTTTCTATAGAAATCACTGTAAAAAGTCTGATATTGGTATATTTTACACTTTTTGCATTTTTTTGTTGTTATATAAAGTGATAAATAAATGTTATAAAACTAGAAATTTAAAAAAAGATAAAAAAAATTTGTTTTAATTTATTTTAGATGTTTCATCTAGTATTTTATCATCGTCTTCAGAAAGTAGCTCTATGGCAATTTATAGTAGGTTATTTTTTATATAATTTTTTTTATTTGTCATATGATTGCTTAATGTTGTAGTATTACAGCTCACTGTTATTATAATGTTGTAGTATGTACAGCCCACTCTCTTAACAAATGTTATTTAAGTTTTATTACTTTTTTACTGTAGGCTAAATAGGTAACAAATAAGTAGGTTTTCACTTTTTTTTAAGTATTGTTGCAACCTCATGCAGTTAAAAGTTAATCTTATAACTGCAATGAGCCTTGATAAACAAGGCTTCTCAACAGAAAAACAAATTTAATTGTTGGGCTGGCTTATGCAATATTTAAAATATATTTTATTTTCCTTTTTTTTATTATGGTTTGTCACATTTGGAAAACAGCCTTTTTCCCTATTAATGTTTCATTATGCAATCAGTCAAAGAACACCTATGTTATTAATTATAAATTTGCCAATTTTGTTTACAGATCTTTTTTATTGAAAAATATTTATACAAACTTATAAGGTCTCAAAACTTTGAAACAATATTAATTTAAGTTCACAAACAACCAAAAAACACAAAAAGTATTTTAATAAACAAAAGAACAATGAATAAAGAAAATTAAAGTAAAACTCATAACATAACTCCTTTTTTTTTTTTTTTTTTTTTTTTATACAGCTACTCTATAGTATTTACTTTTTTAAGGCTTTTTAAGGTTCTTTTTTTATCAGTATTTAAAAAGTAAAATTTAAAATTAAAAAATTTAAAATCTTATAAAGACTCAAATTCAGAAAACGATAGGCTAATATCTAATTTTAAAAGCCAGCTTAAGCACATCTCAAACACATAAACACATTTTCTGCTATTTGTTTTTAAAATTTTTTGTTCGCTAGTAGTTCTTTTAATAATGCAAGATAAAATTTGAATTTTGATAAAATGCTGAGGTCTCTGAAATAAATTCTGAAGAAACAATCGTTATCCAGCTTGCCAGGTTTATTTGTTTGTTGTGGTCTCAATAACTAGTTTTTAATGGAACTAATTATGATAAACATGCCTATTATTTATTTAATGCTTAACTTTTTATTTTTTGTTATTTTTTAGACCAATCAACATGCAAAAAACCATCTAAAATTAAAAAAATCGTAGTTAGTGAAAAGTCGTTATCTGTTAAAGACATATCGCTAGATAATGACATGTGCAGAAAGTCATTAGAAGCTGATATGGAGTTTCAAGAATCTAAAGTAAATTCTCTGCTTCAACAAATTCAAACACTTGGTTTGTTAATTTATGTATGTTTGTGTGTTTATATATATTCACACAAATTTTATATATATATATATATATATATATATATATATATATATATATATATATATATATATATATATATATATATTTATTTATATATATATATATATATGTATATATATATATATATGTGTATATATATATATATATATATATATATATATATATATATATATATATATATATATATATATATATATATATATATATATATTGTTAATTCACCTCCGAGAAGGCCGAGAAGGCCTACAGACGAGGAGGCTACTTATTTGTGGTGATAACCCTCTCTCAACTTTATAACTCCGAAACACAAACCTTAATGAACAAGGCCGCTGCACTGAGAAACGAGTTGAGTGCGGTACTACCAGGGAAGTGGTTATATATATATATATGCCTCGACGGGAAGAAATAAGTGCAAGAGTGGCAAAAAGCTCTTCTTTAACGAACATGGTGAGCTATGTGATCTGCTCTTCTAAAAAGCTTCTTAGGAGAGCTTTTGATTATTGCAATATCTATCTGTTTATTCATTAAACAAATTACTTATTAATTACTAAAATTTGGTTAAATATTTGTTACAAACCCAGGGCGGGACAAATTGTTTTTTTTAATGAACGTTAACGTTTGTATCTTTATTTAATGGCGAATGTCTAACTTAAGAGATATATGTCATATAAGGAAGTTTTATTTTCAAATAGTTTTTATTCTAGTTAACAATTTATTAGATATATCAATGATGCTTATTGAATTTAATTAATTTTTATTTCATCAAAACAATTTTTACGCTTTTGCAAAAGTGCGCACAAATTAATGTTAATTAATATGCAATGACCTAATGATAGTAAGTTGTTAACCATTAATACTAAAAATGAATTTTTCTCAATTTAGTTTGCTAAATTTTATTTACAAATATAAAAAACGTACAATCTTGAAAAAATTAAATTAAAAGGAGCCAAAAATAAAATAAAAGTTGTTTTGACATTTCTTTTTTAAAACTTTGAAATATGATATCATATTAAGTATTTAATAGTAAGTTAATAAATAATATCATATTATTAGCGTTGTTAAACGCACAATAAAAAATAAAAACTGTAATAAACATATTAATTCTATATATTCTATTAGGTTGTATATATTATCAACAAAACTTAATTATTCTTTTTAAACATTTAAAAATATGTTTTTAATATGCAAATAAACATTACTTCACTTTAATTAAAATAAGAATATGAAAAAAAAAAGCATGCTATAGAAAAAACAATCCTTATGTTTAAGCATGGTTTCTTTTAAAGTAATTACGAATGCATTAATTTTAAGTAACATTTTGCATGCTTTTGTTAATACATGTAAAAATCATGCTAAAACATAATTACTATCTTTGATAGCGTAGTTAGTTATTTTACTTAATAGTAATTAAATTTAAATGCTATTGAATGTTTAAGCATGGTTTCTTTTAAAGTCTTTAAAAAGTGTTTTAAATTTTAGTTACTATTTGTTTTTATCATAAATATGTGTTTTTTATAACAAATAAAAATCTATTAATCGCATAATTATTTGGAAAAAAATTGCTGAAATAATGCATGTTGTTTTAAAAATTGTAAACAAACACCAATGTTTGCATATGCAAAAATATAGAAACGTTCATTTGGAGTTCATTTTTCTGTCTTTTTTTAACAAAAGTTTGCACATTCATAGATTTGTTGTGCCATGTCAAACAAATGTTTATTATGTTAATATTACAGGAATATCTAACAAGTGTCATTTTAATATTGCAGCATGAAAATATATATCTAACAAGTGTCATTTATTGCAGAAAAATTTTTTAGACGAGCGTTGTTTTTACTTTTTATAAAAAAGTTTTTATATTTTTGTAAAAGAATGTAGGCATTTTAAGAATTATTGAAAATAATTATTAAAATGACTGCTTTTTTTATTTTAGTTACAATGATAATTAGACTTTTGAGGAAAAAAGTTATACTTTAGCGAGAGCCATAAGTTGTTACCTTAAACTGTTTTAGGGGAGTGTGGGCGAGAGCTAAAGCTCTCACTTCTGCCAAGGCCTATATATATATATATATATATATATATACCAATGAGTCTTTATAGATGAAACAGTGTAGAATAAAAAAGTTTGATACATATATATATATATATATATATATATATATATATATATATATATATATATATATATATATATATATATATATATATATATATATATATATATATATATACATATGTATATATATTTTTATATATAGATAATTTTTTTTTTTTTTTTTTTGTTAATAACTCCGAAACACAAACCTTGACAAACATGGTCACTGTGTGGAGAAATGAGTTGAGCGTGGTTTTGTGAGAGCCTAAGATATGTACTTAACATAAAAACAGTCTCAGTAAACTGATTTTTTTAAGTTTTTAGGTTTTAATAGTAATAATTGTGGGATACACAGTAGTCAGATAAAGACATGATGGCATCGTTATTACACTTTAGGACTGTGGTTCAAGCTTGGCAGAATGAGCATGTCTAACTAAATTTACAAGGCGTTTTTAAACTTATTTAAAAAAGAAAAAAATCATTAGAAGATCCAGCTTGAACTTGTAAACACTAAATTTTGTTTGGGTTAAAAATCATCAAGCGCTGCAAGCTCCAAGCTCACAGAAAAGAAAATATTTCATGATATGCCTTCATCTCCTTAAGTAACCTCTGGATAGATAAAGGTAAATGTCATTCATCAACAATAAATTTGATACTGCAGTTAGGAAGAAAAGATTCAATAATTTAAAAAAATTTATTTCAAGATATTCTAAAACTAATTAAAGACTCAATGACCTAATAATAACAGTAAGAAGAAGATTGGGTAATAGTTAGAGGATTGGGCAATAGTTAGGGGGTTCAAAGTGATTGTCAGAATTTTCAAAAATTGGAACTACAGATGCAGTTTCCACGAGGCAATAAACCAAGATTTAGGTTTTTGTTATTGTTTTGTTATTAAGTTATTGTTAGAGACGTAAGCTGCAAATAAAGTAAAAGTAAAAAAAAGCTTGAGCAATGGAGGCCAGAAGAACTTGGATGTCTAACAATCGATTAAACAGTACTTGGATGTCTAACAGTTGATTGAACAGTTTTTCTGTATTATTAGGAAGAATTTGGAAATATTTAAGAGATAAATCACAGCAAAAATAATAGTTCTGTTTTTAATGGAGTTAATAAGGTTAGACTCATGTATAAGAAAGTTATGGAGTTTATAAGGTTAGATTCATGTATGATAGATGGAATATGAGACATTGTATATGATAGATGGAATATGAGACATTGTTAATACTATTAGAGAGTTGTTGTTCTTATAAAAAACTATTAGAGAGTTGTTGTTCTTGTAAAAAACTTTTAAAAAGTTGTTGTTCTTATAAAAAGGCAAAAGAAATGATTAAAATTAGAAATACAAGCTGAACAAAAAGGAAAGTAAAAAAAACACTTTATTGTAGAGTAAGGCTTGCCTCAAAACTAATTAGAAAGAGTTAAAGTTTCTCAAAGCTTCACTAGGCTTTCCTGGCAAAACAGATTGAATTAATTTAAGAATTTTAGAAAAAAGCAGACTGAATTAATTAGAAGAAATATAGATAAGTGTTTTTTACTATAATATATATATATATATCTATATATATATATCTATATATATATATATATATATATATATATATATATATATATATATATATATATATATATATATATATATATATATATATATATATATATATATATATATATATATATATATATATATCATTGTTTTGTATTTTTATATAGAAAAGCAAATGGAAAGTTTAAAAGTGTTTTCTTCGGAATTAGAAGAAAGTAATTATAAATTACATGGTAAGTCCTAATATAAATTGTAGTATACAGTAAGTCTTAATATAATTTGTAGTATACAGTGTAATGTATATTGCAACATGCTGTGGAATAAAGTATTTTATATACAGTACAATAAACAATTCAAGCAAGGTAAATAAATTTACATAGGTGTTCTTTACCTAAAGATGATCAAAGTAAACAAATTGGCTAGGTTAAAGTTAAAATTATATTACAGGCAACTGTAAAGTATGTGGCTATGTGCAATATACAGTGGTAAAATATTGCTTGGACCAGATAAAATTTTTAAAAATAAAATTGTTTAAAAATTAAAATTAAAGCTAAATAAGTTATTGTCTTGATTTTTTTTTTTTGGTTTTCTCATATCAAACATTGATTGTAAAACAAAAAAAATTATAAATAGTTACCACATATTTAAATTGAATTAATCTAAAAAAAGTGACAAACTGATGGTTTATTTAATCCCCGAATCGCTATCCTAATTAAAAGTATAACATTAGGTAATTAGGTAATGCCAATGTATTAATAGTTTAGTAGTGATATAATTTAGTAATTTTTATTGATAATATAATCGATTCTTTTATTGATAATATAATCGATTCTTTTATTGATAATATAATCGATTTTTTTATTGATAATAAAATCGATTCTTGGCAAGAAAAGAAAGAGCTACTTATAAACAATCTTGCATAACCGTTTGAAATGGGCTCAAAAAGTGTTTTGCTGGAAACAAGAAAGCAAATAAAAACTTTCTATAATTTAGGTACGTTAAACTAAACTAAAACGCATATGAACCAAGTTTCAAAAACAAAGTTAGCAAACCTAATAAAATCAGAAGTTAAAATAAATTTAAATAGAAATAAATGAAAAAATTTTGATAATTTAAATAATTTGTGTACTGTTTTTATTTTTTTTCAGTTACGAAATCTAATAAGGCAAAGCAAAAAAATAAACTGTTTTAAATCAACATTAAAAATAATGATTTTCCTATACTTTATTTGTTATTTTTAAAGAGGAAAGCAAAAATATAAATTGCAATCTTTTTTTTTTTTTTTTAAACATCTTCGTTTCCAACAAGGCTGCAAGCAACCACTAATTAGTGTTGGAAGTTACTGGAAGAGAAAAGATGAAGATTGTAGAGCAAGATAACGATTGACAGACGACTTAAAAGATTGCAAATTATATGAATCAGGAAAGCAAGATAAAGGAAGTGAATTCCAAAGAACTGATGTTCGAGGAAAAAAACTAGACTAATAAGAGTTTTTGGAGGACTTAGGAACAGTCACAGAAAAAGGATGAGACTTAACCTAGACAAACCTAGCTTCCCGACAAATGGGTGACTTCTTACGAATATAAATGCCCAATCCATGCATGTGATTATGAGAGTCTTTACGAATTAAAGGAAGATAACCATCAACATTAAGGTCACAAGATAAGACAGTTGTAACTGGTTTGCAAGTTTGGTTGCAAATGATAAATGTTAATGTAGTAGGTATATGTATGAAGCAGGTATATGTATATAGCAGGTATATGTATATAGCAGGTATATGTATATAGCAGGTATATGTATATAGCAGGTATATGTATATAGCAGGTATATGTGTATAGCAGGTATATGTATTTCAAAATAAAATCTTTTGAAATACTAAATTTAATAACAACAAAAAAACAAAAATAAAAACAGTGCTTGAATTATTTGAATTATTTGTTTGTTTTTTTTTCTATATAAATTTATTTTAATTTCCTATTTTGTTAGTTTTGCTTTCTTTGTTTTTAAAACTTATTTTTTTCGCACTAAGTATTAAAACACTTAATATAATAAAACTTGGAGCTGTGGCAAAGTTGTCTAAAATAAAAAACTTATGCGTTGACATATGAGACAAAAAATGGCACGCATCTCCTGGTAATGCTTGGGACAACCAAAAAAACTTTCATATTAAAATGAGCATAATATTATCAAATCAATAGGAAAAATCTGATGTATTCAATCAAAAAGCCATTTTTAAGAGTCTCAGACTGCATTGCTAAGAGAAAATGATGTCTGAGGAAACTAAACATGTCTGTAAAAGATTGGAGTTGAATTATTTCCAGCAATGAATTTTTCTAATCTTAAACTATAAGTACAGGTAAAAAGGTTGAAAAGCAAGAAGACTCTTACTTTAGTGTACATTGTATGCAAGGTGGTGGTAGCTCAGTAACCATGTGTGCAAGGTGATGGTAGCTCAGTAAGCATGTATGCAAGGTGGTAGTAGCTCAGTAAGCATGTATGCAAGGTGGTGGTAGCTTAGTAAGCATGTATGCAAGGTGGTGGTAGCTCAGTAAGCATTTAGGGGTGTATTTTCTACAAAAATATTGGATCTTGGTTTTAAATCAATTTTTATTCAATTTTTTGTTTAATATTTTATTGTTACATCATTATGTATTAAAAATATTCTAAATGGTAAATATTAAAAATAGTGTTATCTTTATTCAATTTATATATAAGTAATGCATGTAAATAGTTCTAATCATTTTGTGGATTCTTGTCAAACAAATTAGCATGTCATATATGTTTTTTTTTTTTTTCTTATCAAACAAATTAGCATGTCATTTGTTATCATGTTTTTGTCTTGTTGAGTTAATGTTAAATAAAATCATTTTATAAATTATTAAAGAGACAACTTTGCTTTTTTTTTTTTTTTTTTTATCTTCTTGTTATTCTAGTTTACAATTGGGAATTTTTTCTAGCACCATTAGTTCTTAGTCTGTATCAACATTAACTATCCATTAGAGGTAGACTGTAATTAAATGTGTGATGCTTTTTTCAAATATTTTTTAAATTTGATTTATGCATCCAGAACAAACATAAACAACATACATCAGTTGTGTATACAAACATACATCAGTTGTGTATACAAACATACATCAGTTGTGTATACAAAATTAAAAAATGTTTATTGGATTGTTATAAAACTTAACATTTAAACAGAGTTTAACACATTGAATAGAATTCATAGGAAATTTAAAAATAGCTTTTTAGAAAGACTGACCATTTATTGAATATAAATTTTTAAATGAAAATTCTAGATTACAAGTGAAGTTTTTAATAATTACTTCAACAATTGTCTGATTTTTTTTTTTTTTAGAAGTCATAGAAAGCCTGCGTCATGAAAAATTATCAATTCAAAATGAAATGAATTTATTATCTATCAAGCTAAAGGTTTTTTCTATTGTTTTTATAAGACTTGTAATATGATTTATATCATAGAATTAATTTTGTGGCAAACTGCATGCAAGAAGCCAAGACTTCCAAATAAACAGCAAAAAGCAAGGATTGCGTGATGCAATCAACATAAAAATTGGTCTGGTTGCATGTGGCAAAATGTTATATTCTAAAACAAAATGAATGTTGAGGTAGATATGCAAAAGCATGTTATGCTATGATGATCACCTCAAGAAAGATTTGATTTGAATCTAAAATAATGATAAAACTATATTTTGAGTCACAGTGCCAAAGTTTGTTTTCTGCATTTTCCATTATTAATTAGAGAATCACCATAATCAGTTGAAATATGAACAATTTCAACCGATCAATGGTGATATGTCCAATTTCGTCTGCTGTTTTAAGGGCCTTGTGAATAAATAAAAAAAATTGTGATAAACAAACAAAAGGTTAAGTATAAGATTGTTTTGTAGTTTAAAATATGTTTCCTTATAAATTATAAAGAATTATAAATTATAAGGAATTTCTATCTTTTCAAATACTGAATTTAGATTTTCAAATATTAAATTTAGTTTAAATGATTTTTAACGTGAGTTAAAATTAAATTTAGTGCAGTCAAAATATCAAACTTTCAAAATAGTTTTTAGGCTCCAGTAACAAATCTTAGTATCTTAGTAAATAAAATCTTAGTATCTTAGTAAATCTTAGTAAATACAACACATTGAAGCAAAAAATTTTAAATATTTGTAAGTTGTTTTTTTATATTTTTCTATACTTTGTTGTTGTAGGAAAGAATGCCTATTTTTAAAAAAAAGTTAGAACTCAATTCAAGTGAAAAAACTAATGGCATATATATCAGCATGTGCTTTATCTAAAATTAGGAAAGTTAATTTTATGAATAGTTTGCAATATTACTTTTATTTACACAAATTCTTTCTAGTCTACACTTAATACACTTAAAAATAGCCTGACTCGCAGTGGAGTGCTGCTACATCGACTGAGGGTTTGGTATGGGTCAGCAACATTTTCATTCATTATTCTTCGTTTTCCCTCATTGTTTTCTAAAAACGCTCACTTAATTTAGGCAAAAAAAAGTGAGCAATTGCGCATATAAATATGCTATAGTAGATATATATATATATATATATATATATATATATATATATATATATATATATATATATATATATATATATATATATATATATATATATATATATATATGTATATATTTTTTATGTCAGATGCTTTCAAAATTTTGATCAATTACTGATATTACGGAAAGGAGTCGTCCATAAATTACGCAACGCAAAAAAATTTTAAAAAACATAAGTCGCAGATTTTAAGCTCTTTTATGCTGCAATTTTCATTTAACTGAATCAGCTATTATGATTTTTTATTTAAATTAAGACCCTACGCGAGAAAACATTTTTTTGTTTTATTTATTATGAAAGTTTTATTATTTAATTAATGGATTCCTAAGTCTTTTAGTTATAGTTTTTAATTTTTTTGTTTGGTATTTTATATCAACTGAATTATGTGATCACATCGATTAAAATCTTTCTTTACCTATCTACTAATTAATTCACTAATTAATTCAAAAACATTTTTAAAAAACAATCTCTGAAATGTAAGTTACCTACAAAAAATGTTTAATGATTAAAAAAAAATGGAACTACAAATTTATTGAACAAGCAAAATAGATTTCTTTACTAAACAGCTTGCTTGTATTTATCACGCAAATAGGTATATTAAATACGTTTAATAACAAGAAAGTTTATTTTTATTACAACAAGCTGGTACTAGAAATTTAAATAGCAGAAAACAAGATTCACTGCTTGCTTTAATTTGAGATGTTACATTTTAAATAAACATAGTCATAACATTTCATAACTAAGAATGAAAAAATAACTATTGGTATTCTTCATTGCCACGTAATCGCTTGCGATCAATATTCTTCTATAATAAAACGACATTTGTTGTTGTTTTTGCTGAGACTGTAATTATAACTTTATTTCTTTATGCGATTTATGAATAAAGAAAATTATTATTATTTATTAAGTATTAAATATACTTGTAAATATAAAATTTACAAGCTAGTTTTTACTATTTTTAAAACCTTATCTTTTTAAAAATATTTCTTTTGACGACACAGTTTATTACATGATGATATAAGGGTTTGTCGAAAAAGAACGTCAAACAGAATTTAAATATTAATTAGAAGTAGAAGATCATTGGCTTTCTTTTGCTTTTATTTCTTGAAATAAAAGCGGCAAAGATATATTAAGATTAAAAATAAATTAATTATATTATTTTTAATAATTATTATTTAATATACACTCATTATTTTATAATAGAAAAATATAAAGTTCTTAATATATATTTGGAAATCGGACCTTAATTTGCTGTGCCATTATGAAACCATGTTTAATTTTGTGTTGATTTTATTTTCATCTTCAATGTTACAAGACGGTATTTTATTTAATTTTTGGCGTTGTTTAATAAATGTATGCAGCGCTGAAGTGGAGTAGAAATAAAAAAGAATATAGGAAAAAAACCCCACGCATTCCCGTAACACATTTTAATCTCAGCGGAGAGGGGGAGTGACGGCAGGATTTTGACAAATTTCCAATTTCGTTAAAACGCTGTTTAAAGTTTATTCCTGGTTAACACCCTGATGTATATATATGTGTGTATATATATATATATATATATATATATATATATATATATATATATATATATATATATATATATATATATATATATATATATGGGCAATTCTGTGAGAGTGGCTGTCGTAACATTTGATGTTCTTTAAGCTATTAAAAATGAACCAAAAATGGAAATGACTTGAGACTTTCCAAAAATGTGGAATACTATTATATAATTTGGTATCCAAAAGTTACAGTATCGAAGTCTTAAACTTTTTTCAAAAAGTTAACTCTGCGTAGTGTAACGGTCATAACATTTACTTTTTATCACTTTTGAACAAATTAACTTTGTCAGACTAATTGCAGCGAATGGCATGGTAAAAAAAAATAATTTGGTGTGTGTATTTAGCACTTATTGATATTGTTATATGCTGAGTTTCATAGTTTTTACTTGATGTTTTATAAGCATTTCTATGTTTTTTTTGCCATGACAGTCGTAACAAAAAATCTAATTTTAAAAAACAACAAACAAAACAAACGCAATCAAAATAAAAGATGAATAATTATAAAAACCATGTAAACTATGTAAAAGTATAAATTTAATAACATCAAAGTTAAAAAATGTTTTTTTGATACTGGGTTTGTTAAATTTGAAATAAGCAACTAAAGGCATGCTGCTATATCTATTTATACTTTAATACTTTACTTAAGTTTAAATGGTTAATGCTCCCTGTTCCCAACGTAAGTTTATATAATGGTTTTTTCAGAAAAGTAAAAATATTAATTTTAAAATTGTTTTACAAGCTTGTTAAAAAATATTCTTCAATTTTGAAATCAAAAACTTTCCATTTTTTAATTGCCAGAAATGCATTTTAGTAATATTTTTAACGGCTTTTGCTTCGTCAATTTGGTCAGCTATAATGGCCCACTTTAGATTAATGTCATCTGTGTTGATTAGCCTTACATAAGTTTTGCAACCATTTGGTGTAAAGAGGAAATTTTTGCGTTTAAGACAATAATTTCTTGAGATTTTACATTGTTCCAAACAAATCGCTTTAACGATCTTCCAACACCATTAACTGCTAAAGGTGAGAGGTAGCAAAAAAATTCCACTCTATTGATTGGAAATGATATTTCACAGAGCAATATTGTATGAATTTGGCCATGTAAGTAATTAAGTAGTAGTGGCACGCTTTGTTTTATCATTATCATTGGATATTATTACAACTGGTTTTGGTTCTAATTGGTAACAATAGATAACAACTGTAAACAGAGTAATAGTAGACTTGGACCAATAAGCAGCTTGAACAGCATCCTGACAGCCACATCTATAGTTTTGTGAATAATAAAGTAATTATTCACATGCTTTATCAAAATTTGGTCTGGTTTGAGATTTTCTTTTTGACTGAGGTATTGCTCAGACTGGTGCTTTTTAGTTAGATGATGCTCAGTAAAATCTGGTAAATAGTTGCAGAAATGTTTATAAACGTCTTTTATGTTTTTTTTATGTTCACTGAGTACACAATGTTATCATCTTTTATTCACCAACTATAGGTGATGATTGGATCTATGTCTCCGTTTTCGGGCAAAGCAAGTAATTTATAATGACTACACAAAGAGCATTTCATTATCCAACATTGGGATGTAGGTGGCTTGCACAATACATATTTTTCTAACCATTTATTGCAATACAATGGAAAATGTACTTTACTTGCCAAAGCAGCACACAAATAAGTAAAATTACTGTGATAAACACAACCACATGATTCAAGTGGTGTATCTTTGCATGTAAGAATGTATCTAGGCCTAAGTTCACAAAATTTAGTTAATTTAACATTTTTGCTGGCATTCTCTTCACAATACAATTGATGCAGCTCCTTTAGATTCATAACTAAATAGCGCCTTTGAACCTTTTCTCCGTCAATTTTGATATCTTTTTTTCCAGGAGACATTATTGATATATCTTCTCTTTCATAAAAAGCTTTACTTTTTCAGTTTCTTCTGATGTGATGCGAACTCAGGTGGTTTCTTTAGTAGTGCATAAGCCATATTCAGCACCTAACTGCTCTACAATAGTTTGTCTTTTATTTGGAGACTTTGAAAGAGCCTGTTTTGTCCTAAAAATTTTGTTTAATATAAATTTAATATTTAAAAAAAAACCCAAATTATGTGAAAGCAATAAGATTGTTTAATGCTTTTGTCATTGACAAAAGCATTAAATAAGTATTTAATTATGATTTTAAATCTTATTGCTTGTATTATAAGAATTATCAATTTGCATTTATAAGAATTATCAGGCGTAAAATTTAAACTGATGTTAGCAGTGAATTCAAGTTTTTTTTTTCATTCTTAACCTTTGGTTGCGAACTTTCGCTTGATTTTTTTGCTTGTTTTCTTTTCTTGGTGTTAATAACTGTCTTCTTTGATAACTTCTCTTTCTTTCTTTTTCCAACAATGCTTTTCTATTTCTTGCTCTATAAACTTTTGATCTTTCAGCATCTAATTTAGGCATTTAAAATTTTTTTTTAAAATATAACAGCTTCCCTTTTAGATTTACGTTCTGCTAAGATTTAAAAAAATCGCAAAATCGAATGAACAAAAACGTTGCAATGCTAACTATAAAAAATGTTTTAACTAAAAAAAGTTTTGTTCATGTTAAAAGTTTTTATTTCTTAACAAATATTAATTTCTTTACATCGATTATTTGAAATAAGTGACTTATAATTTAAAAAGAAATAAGAAATACTTTAACAAGCTTAGCAATATAATGAGTAAACTCACTGTAAATGAAACGAAATTGATTTTTTACTTGGTTTCAATAATAAGATCGTTTGCACTTAACTTTTTTATACAAAAGTCAAGAAGCTGTTATGGAAAAACAAACATAGGGTAATGGTTGTAACGTACTTTGTTACATCTTAATACTATTATCTAAAGCTCTCTATAAATATATATATATATATATATATATATATATATATATATATATATATATATATATATATATGTATATATAATATAAATGATGCTCTCTATATGTATATATATGTATATATATATATATGTGTATATATATATATATATATGTGTATATATATATATATATATATATATATATATATATATATATATATATATATATATATATATATATATATATATATATATGTATATATATAGTTATTTGACACTGTTTTATTTAGGAAAACTTAGAAAAATATGACAAAGAAAAAGCTGAAATAATCGAACAAATAAATTTGCAACATAATAGGTAGTATTTGTTTATAAATTGATATTATGCCCTTTAAATGTCAGTTTAAGCTTCAAATAAACTGAATTATGGTTTGTGACCTTGTAGGATTTTTTTAGGCAAAAACTAGAAAAGTTGACTTAATGAGTTAATTAGCAGGACTGACACAACTGCATAACTTATTGTTTAGGGTGCCATGCACTATCTTTGATCAAGTCAAGTTCTCTTAAAACCACCCTTTACAAATACTGGTGGTCTTTGAAGTAACTTGTATCTTACCTCTTGCTAAAATCAGCTTACTACTAACTACTTACAAGTCATCAGACTGTAAGTATTTAACAAAAAAGAAAAACAGTAAGTATTAAGCAAAAAGTAAGAAGGTGGCTTGAGCGAAAGGTAAGATGCAATACGTATAATAATTTGAATACTTATGTTGCACTTACAACGCTAGGTTGAATACATTGAATCAGTGTTGATCCATATACTTTAAATTAATGTTGGATTATATATTTGATCAATGTTGGGTTTAGATTGTAAAAATAATTAACTTTAATGATGTTTTTACATACCCTATCATCATACTTAAAAGGGTTTCTTCTATTACCTGCTGACTGGGTTTCCTGTTATGACTTTGTGACTGTTCTTGGGCTGATTTATTTTGATAATGGTAATTCCTTCTTGTTGGTAGACATGCTTTAAAATAAGCCAAGCCTTATTCTATGGTATGGTTTTCACTTTCTTATGCACCTGCTATTTTTAATTATAAGAATTTCATCTTTTCACAAGAACAGCTGTCTTGAGAATAAACATGTTTTTGTTATTGCAAGAAATCAAATTCAAAATTTTGCTGTTCTTCTACAGCATGAAAACAACATGTCATAATCTTACAAAAGTGTTTTCCACTACTCACTTTAATTCTTTCTAAACTATTTTAAAAGTGCTTAACTGAATCTTGTTTTTGTGCCAGCTGAAAAATGGCATCTGTGGCTTTAATTTAAAAAAAAAATCTATAGAACACTCTGACCCCTCTCTATTATTAACAAAGTTTTTGAGTCTTTAATGAACAAACTTCTAATATCTCATCTTGAGTCTTTCTTACTTCTGATATCTCATCTTGAGTCTAACCACTTTCTAATAATCATAATGGATTTTTTTCATGAGAGTTTTTTTACAAGTCAAATTCTGGAACAAATTACCAGTTGAAACAATAGAAGTTAAAAATACCAACTTATTTAAAGCTTAACTTAATCAATTATTTTTAATGTTTTTTGATTTGTAAAAAATTTAACATGACGCTAAATCTCTACATTATACATTATTATGCTTCTTATGTTTTTTATTTGAATTTATGAAGTTGGTATGCTTTTTATGTATGAATCATAATTTTGATTTAATTTTTAGGGTTATTGAAAATTTAAACGAGGAACATTTTCAAGAAAATGAAACTTTAAATCAGAAACTTGTTTTGTTGCAAGATTTAAATTGTGATTTTCGTGAGCAACTCGAAAGGTACTTTTATTAAAGTTTTTCTGATTGTTTTTATTTTTCCAGGTTTTCTTTTTGTTTTCTTATCAGTAGTCTTAATGTTTGTTTGTTTTTTTTTTTTTTTTTTTTTTTTTTACTCTATACACCTTTTTAAGGCCAAGTTTTTAAAAGTTTTGAGGTCTGATAAGTTTTTAAAAGTTTTGAGGTCTGATAAGTTTTTAAAAGTTTTGAGGTCTGATAAGTTTTTAAAAGTTTATTATAATCCTCTGATTTCATGGTATAAATGAATATAATAGATAATTGATTTTATGGTATAATTGAAGATAATAGATTTCATGATAATTGATTTCATGGTGCAAATGAATATAATAGATAATTATTTTGCTATACTTTTAAAGTATACTCATATCAAAATGATATAAAAAGTTTAACAATTTAATTTTAAAAACTTAAAAATGTAAATTTAGTTTCTATAGTTTTAAAATACCCTTATTTTTTAAATTCATTGTGTTTAGCATTGAACAAACAATGTCTGAAAATCTTCTTGGTATTACAAATAAATATGAAGCTTTAGAGAGTACCTTAAGTATTTTGCTTTTTGTTATTTTTTCATACAATTTCAGTATTTTGAATTTATGCATTTTTAATACAATTCTTTTTTTATTCCTATATACGTTTTATTGCAGTTTATATTGAAATGGTCTAATTAAAAAATAACATTATTTAAGGTTATGTGCAGAAAGATTACAGTAAGCGTTTAGAGAACTCTAATTTAATGTTGGATCGAGCAAATGAAGAGCACAAAAGAAGGTTTTAACATTCTAATTATTTCTATAATTGAGTTTTTAAAGTTTTTGATTGGTTGTTTTTATTTGGTTGGTTATTTTGGATTCTTTTTTGATGGTTTGTTTGATCAATCAGTTAATTGCTGATAATTACGGATTTAATTTGCTGTTTCAAACATTTTGGTTGTTTTAAATTTGATAGTTTGCTTTAACTTGTTCTTAGTATATAATAATTTCTTTTTAAAGCGAAAAAGAACTTGAATCAATGATCCAAATTTCAAATTCGTTAAAAAAAGAGCTTCAACAAATGGCAGACCAAAATAACATTCAAATGCAGAAACTGAATGAGAAAGAGTTAATATTGAATGAACATAAGGTTAAAAACTTTTAAATGTTAGAGGTTATCTACTTTTCTTAATCTCAAAATATAACTAACATTCTTTATTTTTAATATAATAAACTTGATTGTTATCAAAGTTTATTAACAATAAAATAATATTCTTTTTTATATATAAAGTTAATACCCTTTATTATTAACATAGTTAATTTATTATTAACATTTTTTTATTATTACTAGCAGTAAGCAACCCATATTAGAGGTTGTTAGTAAATAAAATAAAATAAAAAAAAACGTGTAAAGAAAAGCCTAGAAACTACTTTAAAATAGAAAAGCCTAGAAAATGACGTAACTCGATTATTATCTACTATTAAATTAGCATATTAATATTATCAGATTAACGTAGTTAACACCTCTTATTAATAAAATAGTTAACACCGCTTATTACTTATTGTTTAAAAACTGTAAATTGTCAGGATTTATACAATTTTTACTTAAGCAATGATCATGTATTATTTGTAGAAAAGTGAAAGTGATGTAACCTTTGAACAAAGAGAAGCAGTTAGAGTAGACCTAATTGCAACTGTTCTCTGTAGCATATAATATGAACATTTAAAGCTAAAGATGAATATGAAATCCATGAATAGCTTTAGAGAGCCATAGAAATTAAATTTTATTTTCTAATGATATATTGCAGAGGCAAAAAAAGCAATCAATTGCAAAACCTTTTTTCGAAAAGATTTTTATGTATATTTTTAATATTTGTATTCTTTATTTATATTTAATTATAATAATTTATAGTTGTAATTAAAGAATTCGTATTAAAAATGATCTTGTTTATATTTTTAGATTGAATAAAATTAATATAAACTTGAATAACTTTTTATTGAATAATATCGTTAAAGATAATCTGCAAAAAGGAAAATTCAAAATTTTATTTAAATAAACTTTTTTGTATTGACATCAAATATTAACTACAGATGATCTGGAGTTTTTTTTTAAAAAAAGAAATAATCGAACTGGCACACGTATTAAAAAAACAAAATTAAAAAAAGTTCTTTTAGGATTTAATTTTTTATTTTTTAAATCTTTAATTTAAATTTATTTATTTATTATTTATTTTTAAATAAAACGTTAAAAAAAAAAAAATTAACTTCTTTTTTTATATAAGTAATTTACATACAACATAACATTCCTCGAATTGTTTTTAAAATTGGTAAAGTTATGTAATTAATTTTTCACATGTTAGCATAAAGTTCAATCTTAAACAATAAAAGTTTCATCCAAGCAACGTACAACATTAAATAAGACATCTAATACTTACATACATACATAAGTTCGCTTTGTCGTTTTTATTTCAATTACTTAAATCTATAATTTAAATTAATTAATTTTTATATGAATTTTCAAAAAAAAAATTTTAATAGAAATTATACATAAATTTTTTTTATATAAGTAATTTACATACAACATTACAGAAGAAAACATTCGCTTTGCCATTTTTATTATTTTATTTTATTTTTTAATTTAAATTAAACATTTTCTGATAAAGCTACAAGAAAAGGTTGTGGTGTAAAAAATTCTATGATTTACACAATTCTGGCGAAACTTTTGACATAAAATCATTTTTAGGTGTTACACCAAACAAATTTTTTATTTATTAAGATTGAATTTCTTGCTAACATTTTTACATAGTACTTGATGTTGTTAGAAGGCTTTGCGATTTTTAAAATTAATTATGTAACTAAAGTTAGTAATTTTAAAAACTACTAGCAGGGAAAATCGCAGGTAACTTTTGTTAATGATTTTAATTGTAGTTGGCAAAATAAGAGCTAAATTATGCAGAAAACAACAGTTTTCTACAAAGTTTTAAATGTTAAAATAGCGAATTTCTTTAAAGTTTTATTTCATTAATAAGTTACCATTTTTTTATTTTTTATTTTTAATAATATTTAAAAATTATTAGTTTGCAATAATTTTCAAAGTAATGATAAAACTTTGGATATAGTTTGGTAAACTATAGCTGGATTTTCCTTATATTGAGAATTTAAGGTTAACAGGAATACTGCATATAACAGGACTCCGCAATCCTGTCTAACACTCTGAGTTATGTAGACATGGTGAATGTGATAATAAAAACAGGTGTAGATGATGTCATTGGGTGAGAATCAGTAATGAATGTAAAGACTATTTAATAGGAGGAAAAAAAAATTTTTTACTGCTCAGGGGGATGGGGACAATAACTCACACTCTAGTCATCCTAAGCAAATAATAAAATAATGGCCTATGAGTTAGCAAGTCTATATAAATCTGCTAGTGTACGAAGTGCTTCCATGAATAAAAATGTTGTACAATAGAAAACAATAAAATAAAACAAATAGATAAAATTGTAAGAAAAATAATAATTAATAGTAGTTATAATAATATAAAAAGAAAAATAATGCATAGACTTTATGGTTCTAACTTTAAATCCTCAGTTACAGCAAGCTAAAGCTTGGTGGATTACCAGAACCCTAACCCACCAAGTTATAGTGTTGCTAATCCACCAAGTTATAGTAGATAAATATTTAAAAAAACTTTTTTTATAAATCTAGTATCACACATAGTGTGATAAAAAAAGTTGTTTTATAAATCTAGTATCGCACATGGTCTTAAGACTAGAAAATGAATAATTAAAAACTGATTATCACCTGTGTCACAACAGGATATATGAGTATTGTAAATATTACAAGTATATAATATAAATCTAAAAAAGCACTAAAAATCATGGCTGTAAGAGGTAAAAAATGTTCATGCCATTATAACCAATTAGAATTAAGTAGTGGATGAGTTGTGATCCCCCTCCTCAGAAATGATGATCACCAATGATGTTTCAGAGAGCCCAAGACCTGCACTAATGCCACAATTCAGGGGGTGTGCCCTTGCAACAGATCTCAATGCCTAATCAACTCTGATCACCACTACTTAATTCTAATTGGTTATAATGGCATGAACATTTTTTACCTCTTACAGCCATGATTTTTAGTGCTTTTTTAGGTTTATATTATATACTTGTAATATTTACAACTCAAACACTGCGAGCCCTAAATTGTCACAGAAGTGAGATCAAGTATTAGATCTGCTGCTTCTTTGAAGTGGTTAAAAAGTGATGACTTTTGTCAAGATATATATTTCAGCATATATTTGTGTCAACAGCAAATAAATAACACACAGAAGTTTATTAACTTTTTAAGAGACAAGTTGTGTTTGTTTTAAAGAGAATGATAAACAAAAATGTTTGGGCAAAATTTTTTTAAGGAAAACAAAATAATAAATGTATACCAACAAAAACAAACTTTGTTGTTTTACTTGAAGCTCGTCGTTTCCACAGTAGCTATTCTCTGAAAGTCCTTAAAATATAGCTGCAATCTACAGACTTAATAATTTATTCAAGCGTGTTTAATTCTAAAGAGTTTAAGTAAATGATGTCATTGTAGAATTTCGTTGAAAATTCTTTTTTTTTTTAATCAAATAATAGAATTCTTTTAAATTATTATTATAGACTAGTTGAGATCGTACCCGTAAAAATACGGGTCTTTGTAAGTCTATTCCAAACCGAACTTTTTAATACCTTTTCCTTATATATCATAGCTTTTCGAATTCGTAAAATATGGGTCTTTACCGAACCTACTATTTCTATACATACTTATTCCACACTAATTATTTCTATACCTATTCCTTATTTACTTCAATACTTTTAAGTAAAATAATTTTGTTCTGAAAAACTACTTTAAGAGCAGAAAATTAGATAAACTATAAAACGCTATGGTATCGCCCACAAATTACGCAACGCTAAATTTATTTTTTAAAAAGTAGAAGAGATCTTCAGTTCTTTAGGATGACGATTTTCATTAAACTTAATGAGCTCTAAAAATTTAGATCATTTTTGTTTTCTTCAATTGTGAAATTTAACGTTGAGTAATTTATGGACGATCCTTTATTTTAAAGTTTAGATAAAGGATAAGCCAAAAAGTATATAAAGCCAAAAAATAATAGAGTATAATATTATTTTAATGGTTATCTAAATTGTGTTGTCATTGCGCACTTGGTTTTGTATGTTTAACGGGGGCGTGAATTAATAGCAGTATAACTCTAAATTTCCTTATTATATCAATATTAAATATAAAAGTTAAACTTTAACTTTAATTATTTTTAAAAGTAATCAGTTTAATATAATGGTTTCATTTAAATATAAAATTAGAATTTTTTTAATTATTTTTTTATAAAAAACAAATATTTTTAATTCCGTACTGTTTTGAAAAGCTTAAGGTAGCCGCGTGGCAAGTTCAAATCATCAGCTTGCTTTATTTTTAATTTTTGTTGTCGTGATCTATAAAATATGGATCTTGCAAATGTATTCCAAACCGACCTTTTCTATACTAAATCTATACCTCAATATATTTGAGTAAGAGGTAGGAAAATAAACATAAAAAACTATACTCATTGTTTTAATTTTTGAGCCATAAAAAAAAATTCTATCGTAAATAATTTTTAAAAATATGAGATTTTTTAAATATGTGGAACAACGGACATACCATGAGCAGTTTAATACTGGTCATGGTAAGTCTATTCCACACCGACCGATATAACTTCTCTTTATTTCAACAATTTTAAAGAGATAAATATAAAAATCTTTGTTTTGATATAACCATAAATGTTCAATACTTCATTAATTCAACAAATTTCTTTAAAAAAAAAAACAGGGCAGCAATTATTTTTTTCTTTAATAAGTCTTTAATTTTTTTTCGAATCTGCAGCTTATTAGGATTTTTGCCGTTTTAATTTTAAAGAAAAATTTTTCTTTAAAATTAACAGGGCATGTAAAATATTTTTCTATAAGAAATAAAATTGTCCCTTTAATGCACAGACTTAACTAATAAAGTAAACACATTAGCAACTTGAGTACCGTGACATATGCTCAACAAATTTTTAACGGTGTAATCATGTTTTTAGAAATTTTAAAAAGCTTTATAAAAAATTCTCTCCCTTTCGTTTATTAT